CTCGGCCTTGTACGCCATTTCAGTAGCATTAGTTATATGATCATGAACTTCATCCTGCTCATCATAGTTTTCTGCCAAATGATCGAAAAACAAACTTAAACACAATAATTCCTCCTTGACTGATACAATCTGAGGCTTCAGTTGGGTAACCAGGTCGAGCTTAGACTGTAACAGTTCCTCCAATTTCCCCAAGAAACAATTGAGAAATCCTAATCCATTGGTCTTCGGGAAGCAAAGGCGTATCATAGTTGGAAATTTAGAACAAATAGTTTTAACCTCTGCCTCAACAAAATTAAGCACTTTTCTGACATCAGAGAGGTATAACATGTGAAACCAAGCACGACTATCACCACTGACAGAGAAGAAAATGACATACTTTTTCTCATAGGCGACAATTAGAACACGTTCCATAAGGTCTTTGACTTCTCTATACATATTGCGCTTCTGAAAAATATCATCAGGGCACTTCAATTTCTCTTGTACTAATGGGATTCAATTCCTCACGAAAGAGTTCATTTCACGCAAAGAATGCAGGTGGTTCAGCATGTCGAATAATATGTTCATAAGGCCTTTCAGATCTGAGATAGTAATGCAGGAGACTGATTCATCCAGCAACCGAAAGCATAGCTCTCTGGTCTCTGAATTGACAGACTTGATCTCTTTGAGGAAATCAAATATTGAAAGGCTCATTTCACCATAGCTGCTTTCATAAGCGCAACTGCTAATCAATGCTGCGTTGTCGGCAGCCACTTCAGCATTCATTAAGAAATCCTCAAACTGTGATGCCTGAGAAGATCCATGAGAAAGGCTCTAAGGAAATAAGTTCTTCATGTATATTTTCCACCAGATCCAGAAAATGAGATTCTAAAGTGGTTTTGTGCTTTAGTATATCCGTTAACTTTCCCTCCCACTTGAACAGCTTGAAAGCCACAGTCACAAGCTGAAGCAAAAGACTGACTTTCCCATTTTTGCTGCTATCCAAAGCCTCCTCATCAGATAAACTGATAGCAGCTTCGGCCTCAATTGCTATAGTTCCAAGTTCTGTCAGGAGACAATTTTGCTTCTTGCAGTCAATGTATTGAATTGGGGGATCAACAAGAAATGTTACCAAGAGAAGCAACCCGTGATGAAACCTCTTAAACTTGTCTGTATCAGTAAGTTTGAGATTTGCTTCATCCTAAGCAGATTTTCGAGAATATATTCATGAAAACCTCATCCATCTTGGGGCTATATATCATATGTCTTTGACGATTTCAGCATGGTGAAATAAGAATCAATGGCCTCAAAGCTAGTAGGAAGAAAGTTGAGCAGATTTATCATAGGACGCTCTGGTGCAGAAATGATCTGTCGAATTGCTGCCTTAATAAACTTGAATTTAAGAAGCAATTGAAAATGCAAGAGATTAATTCCCCTGGCCGACTCTCCTTCCTTTGAATCACGAGAAGGCGAATTAATGAGTGACCCTGCATCACTGTTCACAGATAGAACAAAGGGCAAGACATTGGATATCTGAATCTGCTCTTTGCACTTGTCCAATGTATCCATGAGAAAAGTTCTCATGAAAATCAGCTCTTCCAGAAAATAGCATGTCATGCTGTTTTCTGAGCTTATTTTCTGTAACAGAATGATCTCTACGTCAAGATGACTAAACTTGGCTTGCAAAGGAAGAAGCGCATTGTCTAGTTCAGTATTATTCGTCAAATTCACATCATACAAGGAGTAGATTGTTATTGCTGCCTCAATGGCCAGAGCTTGTGGGTATGATATTAAAAGAGGATCATCTTGTTTATAAGCCCCGTTTAATAACCCAGCAAATTTAGAAAGTTTATAAAGTCCATGTTGGAGCCATTGCAATCCATCAGGAAAGGCAACTTCATCAAGACTTAGAAGCTCTTCCAGATCCTTTTTGAGAAAGTTAACTAACAAGATGACCTCAGTGGCAAAGCTTAGATCCTTCACTTTGGATACTGACGAATATGACGGTTTCAAGACACTGATACAAAGATGCCTCCATTCAGGCTCAATAAGATTCATCCTCTCCAGCAATTCAGAGAAGTTAGGCGAGAAGTTAGGCTCAAGAGGAATCACATTCGCACTTGAGCCTTGTTAGAAATATGCTTTAGAAGCTGCTCTCAGTAAAATTATTTTACTGTTTCAGCTATTTACTGCAGTAATTTAGTTTGAATTTGAAATAATTTTGAACTAGTTTTTAGGAGTGAACTAGTCTCTAGGAGTTAGTTATTTTCAGCATATTTTGTGCTGATTTTTAGGTCTTTTAAGTTAGTATTTCTCTTATAAATTGTAGTCCAAATGCAGTAAAATAATATAGAATTTTAAGCTTCGGTTCCTTTTACATCTATTCCAGTATACTCTTTTTATTTTCCTGTCATCTTCCCCGGTTATTTCCCTTAATTTCTTTTATCAAGAAGACCTAAGTAAAATCTTTTCTTGAGTGAGATGGAGACTGAAATGAGTTTTTCTCAATTGGCTCCTCCAGTCTTTGATGGTGAAAATTACCAACTGTGGGCAGTGAGAATGGAGACTTACTTGGAGGCTTTAGATCTTTGGGAGGCCGTGGAAGAGGATTATGATGTTCTTCCGCTGCCTAACAATCCCACGGTGGCCCAGATCAAGAGTCACAAGGAAAAGAAAACCAGGAAATCAAAGGCGAAAGCAACTTTGTTTGCTGGTGTGTCTGCAACAATTTTCACGAGAGTTATGGCTCTCAAATCAGCAAAAGAAATCTGGGATTATCTGAAGGGAGAATATACAGGAGATGAAAGAACACGAGGCATGAAGGTGTTGAATTTAATAAGGGAATTCGAGTTGCAGAAAATGAAGGAATCTGAGACTGTCAAAGAATACTCAGATCGGTTGCTTGGCATTGTTAACAAGGTAACATTGCTTGGTACTAAATTTAAAGTTTCAAGAATTGTTGAAAAAATTCTTGTTACGGTGCCTGAAAAATATGAAGTATCCATAACTACCTTGGAAAATACAAAGGATCTATCGAAGATTACCTTGGCAGAATTGTTAAATACATTGCAGGCACAAGAGCAAAGAAGGCTTATGAGGCAAAATGGTATGGTTGAAGGAGCCCTGGCAGCCAACCACAAAACTCAAAGCAAGGGTAATAATGTTAAAAAAAATTACCCGCCTTGTCAGCACTGTGGAAAAAAAGGTCATCCACCATTCAAATGTTGGAAGAGGCCAGATGCAAAGTGCAAAATTTGCAACCAACTTGGTCATGAAGCTGTAATTTGCAAAGGCAAATATCAAAAGCATGAAGCAGATGCCCAAGTCGCCAATGAAGAAGAAGAAGATCACTTGTTTGTGGCAACTATTCTTTCAACCAAAAAATCTGATTTTTGGTTGATTGATAGTGGTTGTATAAACCACATGACATATGACAGAAATCTTTTCAAAGAGTTCACGTCTATAGGAAATAAGAAAGTCAGAATTGGAAATGGTGATTATATTCTTGCTAAAGGAAAAGGAACTGTTGCAATCCCAACAAATTCAGGTACTAAGAAAATTTCAGATGTTCTTTATGTTCCTGATATTGATCAAAATTTATTAAGTGTTGGACAACTAATGGAAAAAGGATTTAAAGTATCCTTTGAAGATAAATATTGTTTCATTTATGATGCAACTGGACTTGAGATTTTAAGGGTTAAAATGAGAGGTAAAAATTTCTCATTTGATCCAACCGAAGATGAAGAATGGAGCCAAAAGAATCTACTAAGTGCAGGTAATTCTCCAACTGAGGACATATGTGAAAATAAGGTAAGGAAGAAGTTGTCAATATTTCAGAAAATGCAATTCTTGAAGAAAGTTGACAAGTCTCAAGGCAAGATGCAAATGAAGCTGAAAAACGAGCCAACTTATTTCATTAACAATCATGAGATGCAGCAAAATACAGAAGTGAACTCGATTCACTGCAAGTCCAAAGATCAGTTGGCAGATTTACGTACAAAGTCCCTTCTAGTTAAAGGTTTACAAGGGACAAATTCAGAATTTGCAGCTTCAAAAGCAAGGAGGAGTGTTAGAAATATGCTTTAGAAGCTGCTCTCAGTAAAATTATTTTACTGTTTCAGCTATTTACTGCAGTNTGACCATTGATCATAATTGAGTACCAGTTATTGGATATTAGGTTCCACACCATGTTGATGAAGCATTCTGCAAATCTCATTTTTCTCAGTACCGTCACACCTCCTTCTTACCACCCGAGAGGAGATATAAGGGAGTTTTTCCAATTAAAGTGATATTATTCGAAACGGGATTATTTTATTTATTTTTCAGAGTCGCCACTTGGAATAATTTATTTGGTGTCCCAAGTCACCGGTTTATTTTAAATCCCAAATCGAGGAAAATTGACTTTATTTTTAGAAGTCTGCGAAACCAGAAATTCTAAGTAAGGAATTCTGTTAACCCCGGAGAAGGTGTTAGGCATTCCCGGGTTCCGTGATTCAAGCACGATCGCGTAACTATTAATATTTGCCTAATTATCTGATTTATTACCTGTTTTAAAGCATATTGTGCATTTTTAACCTTTTAAACCGCTTTTAATTATTTTATGGAATTATTCTAGAACAAGTTACGATTGTCGTACACTTATTTGTTTGATACACATTGCGAATCATTTCACGGGAACCGTACCTACGATCCAAAAACTGTTTAATTTATTAAGGTTATTAGAAGTTAGTTGCTGGGTCACATAAATTTACCCCCGGATTTGGAAATTAGGTATCACAACAACGTCACGGGAACCGTACCCGTAGCTATGATGATTTTACTATAAACGCGCCTAAAGTAAACTTACGAATTTTCTAAAGTTTTTTACTTATACTAATTAATATTAATAGTCGAGGGCCATGGGTTATGAATTCTTCTTGTGAATGGCACGCCTCAATTTATTTAAAGGGTTTATACTCAGGTAAAGCAATCTAAAGACTTAATTTGNTAGTCCAAATGCAGTAAAATAATATAGAATTCTAAGCTTCAGTTCCTTTTACATCTATTCCAGTATACTCTTTTTATTTTCCTGTCATCTTCCCCGATTATTTCCCTTAATTTCTTTTATCAAGAACCAACAAGCCTACGACACGTGGCTGCGACTCTTCATCCATCTTCCAACATAAGATAGATTGGTATGCGGTAGTGTAAAGTACATCCTCAGCGAAGATGAAGAGATCCTTCATTTTCTCATGCTCAATGCACCACTCTGCAGTTAAGCTGAGGAGGGTTCTTAGATATTTCAGCTTATCCAGGAGCAATGCAACTGGAAGATATCTAGTAATATGCGGTATCAGCTTATGAACAGCAGAAAGGCCACCTGCGACGTAATTCACCATCTCCATAGTGACTTGTCTGCTAATGACGACCGATCTTGATTGTTTTGAAGGATAGATTCGATCAGCAGTACTCTCGGGGTTAACTATTTGCAGCTTCTCTGAAATGATTCTGATTGTGTCAGTGTCACTAGCCAGGTCTTGATCTCTCAAGAGACCAAGGACCTCAAAAAAGCCATCATAGGCTTCATCGAATAGGGGCCCAAGCTGTGCAGATATCCAATTCTCAGCGTTATTACTTGCCAAAAAGTAATATAAACGACCGAGTTTACTATGAGCATATCTCAATTGATCCTTTGTCGAACTATTTAAATGCCTCGTCGCCATACATTTTTTGATGGTCGTCATTGCTTGATAGCACCGCTCCTTGGCCATCTTTCCACCTCCGTACCTGCAAGTAACAAAATTAACATCTCAATTTAGAGCAGTTTGACACAAACATATTTCTATCCATTTGACTAATTCCACTGGAAACTCTTCCCTTTCCTTAGTGTCATGTAAAGAAATGTAGTTTGGTCCTAACTCAAACTCCAAAAAGAGACCACAATAACCCATTCTCTTATCTGATGTGTGGAACTTAACATTTCCCAAATCCCGACGTGGACAACTGGAGCATGGATACATAATATTGGGATCGATATTGAGATGCACAATAACAAGAATCGATGGGTTTGACTCTGTACCATGTACACAAATTAGATATCGGAGAATTACTTGTCGTTTTATGCAATGAGTACAATTTATTTATATAAATTACAAGGGATGTTATATCTCTTGTAATTATATAAATAAATAGATATAGCATCTCTTGTAACATCACACTCCTAGGGGTACGGTCCTTCCCCAGACCTTGTGACTGAATTTTTTTTTTTAATTACAAGAGATGCTATATATCAAAGGAAACAGTAATAAAAAATAATAAAAGAGAAAATTCTATAAATCTACACATATGGAAGGATAACATTCGGTAACCTGTTCTTAATTTCTTCTCCTATAGCTCTTGGCAAAAATTCATCTATGATATTGAGTACATAGCTATATACAAATATAGCAGTGTATATGTGTATTGTATAATGAGAGTTGGTTAAGTGGTTAGTGAGACAGCTGTCAACCACTAACCAACAATATAAACGACCCCCATCTGTAATAGATCAATAGCACAGTAGCATTTTCCTTTCTTCTTCTTCTTCTCTCTCAGCTTCTTCTCCCTCTCAACTTCCTTTCTCATTTGCATGTGATTTACAGTAGAAGTTAGGATGAATTTCTTCATGGTATCAGAGCACCGATCTTAGGATCTACAGCTCAGATCTAATCGCCACCAGAAATCAGTAACAGAACAGTTCAGATCTAAGCTCCTTTGAGCATCCATGGCCGGAAATGATGTTGCTTCGCTTGACCACAGTCATCCGCTATTTTTACAAGCTGGAGATGCTCCTGGACTCGTGTTAATACCGCTCAAGCTCACAGGGGTAGAAAATTATGCCCTTTGCAGTAGAGCGATGAAATTAGCACTACGAGGAAAGAGCAAGCTTGGTTTTGTAGACGGCACTTGTGTGAAAAGCAGTTACAAAGGAGAATTAGCAGAGCAATGGGGAAAATGCAATGCTATTGTATTGTCATGGATTGGGAGCACTGTGTCCAGTGAATTGATGCCAAGTATTGTATATACGTCAAATGCAAAGAAAGTTTGGAGAGATTTCCAGGAGAGATTTGATAGATCTAATCTCACCAGGATTTACCACCTATGGAGTGCAATTGCGACTCTTAGGCAAGGTATAGATTCTGTCACCAACTATTACACGAAAATGAAAGATTTATGGGATGAACTTGATGTACTAGCTCCTATTTCTTCTTGTGATTGTGAGGAATCTAAACCTTCTGTTGATTATCTGAGAAACATAGGCTGTTACAATTTCTTATGGGATTAAATGAAAGCTATAGCAATATACCCAGTGATGTGTTGGCTAAAAAGCCAAGTTGTGACTGTAATGTAATGAGGCTTATGCTTAGTTTAGTCAAGAGGAGAGTGCAGAGAACCTAGGTGTCACAGGTACCCACAGAGATCCACTCACAATGCTAGCAGGAAAGGTCAAGACTTGTAGACCTAGGAAGCCTGGGTTAATATGTGATTATTGTGGGTATAAAGGACATTAAAAGGAGAACTATTTTAAGATAATTGGATATCCACCTGATTTCAAAAACAAAAGGAAGAATCAAACAACTGGAGGGAAAGCATATGCCAATAATGCAAGTGCAAACACAGCTGCTGCTAAGGAAGATAAGGCATTACCAACAATGCAAGCACCAGGGCAATTCTTCATAGAGGAGCAATACAATTAGTTGGTGAATCTGTTGTCAAAATCTAATGCAGGGGAGTGTTCTGCAAACATGACAGGTATAATTTCTCTACTGTCTACTGCAGATAAGTGTGATTGGGTAATAGATTCAGGAGCAACCCATCATGTTACTTACTGTAAGGATGTTCTAAGAGACATTAAAAGTGCTGATAGCCAAGGAATACAAGGAGTACAGGCGCCTATAGGAAACAAATCAAAAATCACTCACACAGGAAATACAACTATATTAGAAAATAAGACAGTGAAGAATGTGTTGTACGTGCCAGATTTTAAATTCAATCTGCTGTCAGTGTCTAAGCTCACCAAAGAATTGTGGTGTTGTGTCACTTTTTTCCCTGATTTCTGTATATTTCAGGATCTTTACAGTAGCAGGGTGATGGGGATTAGTAAAGAGCACAATGGGCTATATCTGCTAAAGGAGAACATAACGCTAGCAGCTGCAGGATTTTTTGTGCAGCAAGCAGTTAGCAGTGGACTTTGGCACCTGAGACTAGGGCATGCTTCAACAAAGACAATGGAGAACATACCAGCTCTTAGGAATAAAGTTAGTTCTCAGAGTCAACAAAATTGTGAAGTTTGTCCTTTGGCTAAACAATGTAGGTTGAAGTTTCCTATTAGCAATAGTAAATCTACTAGTTGTTTCCAATTAGTCCATCTAGATGTTTGGGGGCCTCACAAGGTTCCTACATATGATAGAAAGCATTACTTTGTCACCATTGTGGATGACTATAGTAAGTACACTTGGGTATGCTTGATTCAGTCCAAATGTGAAGTAGCTATTGTAATAAGAAACTTTGTTGCAATGATAAGAAATCAATTTGACACTGGAATCAAGGTGCTCTGGACAGACAATGGTACTGATTTTTTTAACTCTCAATGTGATGAATTATTGGCTTCTCTTGGAATCATACACCAAAGTAGCTGTCCTTACACTCCACAGCAAAATGGAACTGTGGAAAGAAAACATAGACACATTCTGCAAGTTGCAAGGGCCCTGAAGTTTCAGAGTGCAGTACCTATTAGATTCTGGGGTGACTGCATTAAAACTGCTGTGTATTTGATTAACAAGTTGCCCACTGAAATCTTGGAGAAGAAATGTCCTTATGAGATGTTGCACAACAAACCTAACAAACCTGCCAAGCTGGATCACTTAAGAGTTTTTGGTTGCTTATGTTTGCAAGCAACCTACCTATATGGGATAAATTTACAGCCAGGGCAAGGAAATGTTTTCTTGTAGGATACTCAAAGACTCAAAAAGGGTATAGGTTGTATGACCTAGACTCCAGAAAAGTGATAGTGAGTAGAGATGTCACATTCAGAGAACATCTCTTTCCATTTAAGGAAGTCACAGATGCAAATGAAGATTTGTTCCCTTGTGAGCCAGTGGGGGTTAGTTCTGAAGAGACAACTCCATCTGTTGATCATAGCAACAATACTGATACTGCTAACCCTGCAGAAGCTCTTGCTCCCGCTGAGATTCATGCTCCTGCAGAAACTCATGTTATTGAACAAGCTGCACCAGACTCACCAGTAGAACCTTCTTCATTACCAGTCTTGCAGGCACCAGATGCAGTAGAACTTTCTTCATTACCAGCAGAATTAGCAGTTTTCTCAAAGGAAACACTGGCTGAAGAGCCAATACATCAAGACCATCCTTTGCCTGCAGTGTCTACTAGAAAGTCTAGTAGACCTTCCAAACCTTCTAATTGGCTCAAAGATTATGTGACTGCAGTCAAATCAACCAAGGATACACCTTATCCTATATCAAATTTCATCACCTATGATCATCTTTCTGAGAATTACAAATCCTTTCTAGGATCCTTCTCAGAACTTACTGAACCTAGATCATTCAAGGAAGCTTGTCTTGATAAGGCTTGGGTGGAAAGCAAATGGAAGCAAAATTAAAGCACTTGAAGATAATGCAACCTGGGAAGTAGTAGATCTTCCTCCAGTGAAGAAAGCTATAGGCTCAAAATGGGTGTTCAAAATAAAATATAAAGCAAATGGGGAGGTGGAAAGGTTCAAAGCAAGGTTGGTAGCAAAGGGATACACACAGCAGGAAGGATTGGATGATCATGAGACTTTTTCTCCTGTTGCAAAAATGGTCACTGTCAGGACCATCATTAGTAGGCAGCTTCAAAGGGATGGAACTTATTCCAAATGGATGTTAACAATGCCTTTCTACAGTGTGATCTTTATGAAGAGTTCTACATGTGCTTGCCTCAAGGGTTCCACAAACAGGGGGAGCATAAGGTGTGCAGGCTGCTGAAATCTTTGTATGGGTTGAAGCAGGCATCGAGGCAGTGGAATATTAAACTGACTGAGGCACTTTTAGCAGCTGATTACACATAAAGTCCCCATGATCATTCATTGTTCACCAAAAGAGTAGGTTCAAATATTGTCATTATCCTAGTCTATGTAGATGATTTGCTCATTACTGGAAGCACATTCTTTCTTGTAAGAGGTACTACAGACACTACATAGTTCATTCAAGGTAAATAGATCTAGGAGAGCTTAGGTATTCCTTGGGATTGAACGTTCTAAGATCTAACCATAGGGGGTACTTCTTACTCAAAGGAAATATGCACTGCAAGTTAATATCAGATGTTGGTACTGGAATCTGCCAAACCCATTAACACACCTATTGAGCTTCAATCAAAAGCTAACAACCGTTGATTATGACAACATGTTGGTCAAGCACTGGTGATGCCAGAATTTGAAGGATGCAGGTAGCTACCAAAGACTCATTGGAAAAGCTTCTCTACCTAACAGTTACCAGTGCCAAGATTTTGTGTTTTGCAGTCCAAAGTACTGAGTCAATTTTGCAAGCATCCCAAACAGTCCACATTGGGAATGAGCTCTGCGAGTGGTTAGAATATGTTTAAAGGTACTCCAAGGCTTGGTATTCTTTCTAAATAACTCCCGATAAAGGCATCTTCTGTTATATTGTGTACTCTGATTGGGCAGGGTGTCCCAAAATACCAGGAGATCAGTAAACCGGTTAATATATGTCAAACCTTGGGGATTCATTGTT